GTTATACAGATAGCGCAAAATGAAGATCTAAACTAAAAGAGATCTAAAGGAAGATAACCCAATCAAAATTGTTACAAATTAACTAAAATTTACAAAGAATTTTATTGAGTAAGATATACTTTAACATAAAGAATTTAAAGTTATTTTCTATCTTGAAAATAACTTTATTTATAGTCTGAGATTTATTATATCTTTCATAAATAAAATTGAAAAAGATAATATTATAAAGCTTATTATGAACTCAATATTTAAAACAAATTAGCAAAAATTTAAATTATTTGCTATAAATAATAATTATGATAAATATAATATATTTCTAGTATATTTTTTCCTAGATACTTATATTATATTAGAAGATCAAGCATCTGATCTAGTAAATATAATAAATATATATACTGATATCTTATGAAAATTCTTTAAAGTATTATAAAATGAAAATATTTAGTTAAGTTTTATATTACTAGACAAAGATACTAGAGAAATAGCAATAATACAAGAAGCTTAGTCATGAATACTAAATATTTAGCTTTATTTATGATATATTAAATATATTATAGAAAAAAAATTAAGTAAGCAAAAATTTTATAGAAGTCAATATATAGCTAAAAAATCTAGTGAAACTCACTAATAGTTTAGCTTTATTAATCTAATATGACTTTTTAAAAATCAAGAAATCTGTAAATATATTAAAGAGAAAATTAAGAAAATATTGCAAATAATAAAAAAGTATACTTTTTTACATTCTTTAATATAGATCAATTTCTCACATCTTCAGAATTATATATACTTTATACTCAAAAAACTTATCAATACTGTTAGCAAAAAAATTATACTGCAATATGAAAATATCTTTGATATAATTGGTATAATCATAAGGATTAATAGTTATTTATCCATATCTTATATGTCAATATAATATCAATTACCTAGATAATAATAATTATTGAGTCTTATTAAAGAGTACTTAAGTATAATTATAAGTATAATTATAATTACCTATATCTTGATCAACTAACTTAAATATTAATATGATAACTAGTCAAAAATATGAAGAATATAATAGTATTTTATCTTAATGAATGTATATGATAGAATACTTTCAAATAAGAATGATTAAAACTTAGTTAAAGATCAATCAGCAAGAAAGAAAAATATAATACATATCTAGAAACTTGGATATATTCATATTTCATATTTCTAAATAATTACTTTTTGATATGCAAGTATCTTGTTATGAAGAAAACTAGTTTAGTATCAGATTTCTTTTCTTACTTTGTCTTTATAAAATATCAACATGATTATTTATTTATCTTTTTTAATATAGATTATCATTAATAAATTAGTATATATAATAATTCTTGGAATAGGTACATACAAACTATTAGCATACTTATGGTATTTACAAGTAATTCTTATATTATCATTAACTGATATCAAGATTTTGAACAAAATAGAGATATAATAAATAGGATTAGGTAGATATTTGAGTTAGGAATATCTTTATTAGAAGAAATATGGAAAATAATAAATTTATACAAGAATTTGAAAGAATGATCAAGTTACTTGCACAAGAAATTGATAGATATTATAAAGTTCTTAATACAAGAACTTAATAATATATTATGTAGTATTTTAGAAATTGATGATTGGCTTTTTGATTATATTGAATGCTAATATCTCACAGTTTATATGTTAGTATAAAAAGTATTGTATTTTTTCTTCATCTTTTTTATTAAACTAATACATATATATATTACCATTATATATTAAACTACATGGGCGGAACTCCGGAAAGACAGAATGTGATCGGAAGTCACATGATCTGTCATTTTTTTCTGTTACTATAGAAAATGTTTCATGCGTGTGCATATAACTCATACAAAAATAAATACCACCTAATGAATGAAGAATTCGAGGACAAAGTATTCATCAAAGACCTCGTGGTTCACACTATCATTGGTGTAAACGCTTGGGAAAGAGTAGAAAGCCAACCAATAATAATAAACATTACAATATTTGCAAATGTTACAAAAGTTGGCGAAGCTGATTCCTTCTTACCACAGTCGATAGACTACGCATTAGTATGTGAAAAAGTGCAAAAGTTCGCAGCCGAGACATCAAACTATAAGTCTATCGAAGCGTTTGCAGACGGTGTTGCTAAGATTTGTATTGTAGAATGTAACGCGCCAAAGGTCGCGTTAAGTATCGAAAAATCTCGTGCACTGTTGCACGCGTCTTCTGCCGGTGTGAGAATTACAAGAACAAAACAAGATTATCATGATACTCCGGCGGGGGAAGTTAAAGCGTTGCGCGAATTTATAATGCGAGATGATGTTATCTTTGTTAAAGATTTAAAGCTTAATGTCATTATCGGTGTTTATCCTTGGGAACGCGAAGAGAAACAAACGGTGATCATTAATTTGATTATATACCCGAGCACATTTCAGCAAGATTGTTTTTCAAAACCAAATAGTTTCGGCACAATCGCAAGAACAATTTCGAAGGTATGTCTAACTTACAGAAAATTTGACGGTTTATATGTTTAGCTTATGAATGCATAAAAAACCACACACACAGTATATCGAAGAGTCAAATTTCAAGACAATAGAAGCGCTTGCAACAGCTGTTGCAAGGATTGCAATAGTTGAATGTCATGTCGAGAAAATTTCAGTACGTGCCGAGAAACCAGGCGCATTAACATTCGCAAATTCGGCGGGTGTAGAGATTATAAAGAGGAAATCCGACTTTCATCAAACACAACTCAAGCAAAATGATAGCGATACCCCAGTTAAGATTGGATATAATCATGTGGTGTGCATTGCGCTAGGAACAAATTTGGGGAACACTTTTGATAATATTAATCAAGCGTTAGGAGCGCTGGAGATAAAGTGTAATTGTAAAATATTGGACACCTCATTCTTGTATGAGACTCCGCCAATGTATGTCACTGATCAGCCAAGATTTTTGAATGCCATGTGTAAGGTGGGTTTTCTCTTTATCGCTTGTCTTTTGTTTGGTTTTATTCTCTCCTCTGCTTTGTCGATCGCTTATCTGTTTCTCAAATTTTTTTAAAGATTATGACTGATTTGGATCCTGAAACCCTACTTCAAAAACTTAAAACGATCGAAACAGAAATGGGAAGATTTGATAATCCCACCATAAGAAATGGCCCAAGAATCATTGATTTAGATATAATCTTCTACGATGACATGGCATATTCTTCGCCCATTCTTGAAATACCGCATCCAAGAATAACTGAAAGAGAATTTGTATTGAGACCTTTATGCGAGTATGTGCGTTTCTTATAGGTTTCATAATTATCTCCATTCAATTTTCATAATTTTCTTATATAGTATTGCCAAAGGATTTGAGCATCCCAAACTGCTTAGAACTTGTGGCCGTTTGCTTAATCAATTGCTGAACTCTCCTGACTACGCGTCACAAGCAAACGAAATAAATAAAGTAATGTTTATTCGTAAGTCACAATGGATATGGAAATCCAAAACATTTATAATGGGAGTATTGAACGTCACTCCTGATTCTTTCAGTGATGGTGGATTGTACAATACGGTTGATAAGGCTGTCGCACACGCTGAGAAATTAATTGCTGATGGCGCGGACATCATTGATATTGGTGGGATGTCAACAAGACCCGACTCTGATGATATCACGGTGGAAGAAGAATTGTCGCGAGTATTACCTGTTATTCGTGCAATTCGAGAAAAAGGCATAACTGATATACCTATCTCAATTGATACCTATCGAGCTACAGTAGCTGAGAAAGCAATAGAGTGTGGCGCTGATTTCATCAATGATGTATCTGGTGGAACACTAGATCCAGAAATGTATTCAGTTATGGCAAAAGCCGATGTGCCCGTCTGTCTTCAACACATGCGTGGAACCCCAAAAATTATGTCCACACTAACCAATTATGACGATATAATTACAGACATTTCCCGTGAACTTGGAGAACGTGTCAATTCAGCCCTTAAAGCTGGTGTGAAACGATGGAATATAATAATCGATCCTGGTATTGGATTTGCAAAAAATTATGAACAAAATTTTCAAATTTTGCGAAAATTATCTGATATCATTAGCGAGAATAGTCCACTCAGAGGGTTTCCTTGTCTTGTTGGACCTTCTCGGAAAAAATTTATCGGACAGACGATTCAACAGGCTGAAGCGCAGAATCGTGTGTGGGGTACCGCTGCTGCGTGTACCGCTTCTATCGCTGGTGGTGCGGATATTTTAAGGGTACATGATGTTAAACAAATGTTGGACGTTGTTAAAGTTGCGGATAAAATTTGGAGAAAGGCATAATTAATTGAATTCCTTTTATTCTCAAATTCATAGTATTTAATAAATGTTCATTTATCAGAGAAAAATCTTAATTTGTAAATAATTCTAAGTTTTATCACGGTCAATAAATAAAAAGAAATTTCCGTTTGACTAAATATTTTATAATAGCAAACATCCTTCTTCATTTTTTATTGTTAACTTTTATTTTCCCATAATTTGGAGTCCACGGTCCTAAACTATCATTCGCATAAAAATCCATCGGGTACACTTCTTGCCAAGTGACTTCATCTAATGCCACTGATGCTTCATACGGCGTAAGTAGAGGCTTTGAAAATGCATAGCCCCAATCGATCGATAGACGTGGGCAGGCAATTTGAATCCATCTAAATATTGTAGTGACATTATTTCTATTAGGATTTTTGCCTTACAGAAAGTAAATGTATATAATGAATAGAAAATTTACGCGTCAATATCTTCAAATAGTCCCAATTTGTCAGGAAATATTTCAGAGAGTAAAACACACATGTACTCGCGTCCTTGCGATCTTAGTTTCTCTTCAAGATACTATTATTTTGTGTAGAGAACAAATCATCACATGAACAAAATATACCTAAAGTTAAGCAAAAGCACGTATAGTAGAAATTTCGGCATGACGGTTGAAAAATTTTACCTGCATTACTTTTGGACTACCTTGCCGACCGAGCGTTCCCAATATTAATCCGAATTTTTTTGCTTTTCTTGCCACATTGATTGCGTGTTTCCGAAGTGAATGCATTTCCAAGTGATCATATCTTTCCCGCGTAAATTTTTTCGAATATGGATCATATCTTTATATTTACAAAAGATAATGTATTAATTACAATTATGTATGTGTTAGTTTAATTCATTTATTTTTTTTTACCGAAAAGCAGGAATTTCTGGATTTGCAATCATAATTGACTCTAGATGAAATCGCCCATCACCAAGATACCTAATTATTACAACAAAAAGAATAAATTTTCAATTCAATTTACATGACAGAGGGAATGAAATTTAGTTAGTTACACTAAAGCATCATGATCATTCAGTTTTGGAGATGTGCAGCCCAATATCTCGCCCGGAGATAACGGTTTGGTTTGTGGTACAATCAACTGATAATCGTTCTCGAGCATCTTTTTCGCTGTCTATCATTAGAATAAATTTTTAATTTAGAATTTTCGTTAAAAGCATAATTTAAGGAGGACTTTTACGAGAGCTGACGAGAAATATTACTTGAATAGCTGCAACGAACTGTATTGTTCCAACAATCGTGAGTTTTTTGCCTTTTTCGAAATTCTTTGTTATTGTGTCGATAAAATGCTGGTTATCGATCCCGATGTCCACGAATACGTATAGGGTTTTGATTGTGGTAATATCCACGGGGACTACGCGTAACGTATTTCAGAAGTGAATTTTAATAATAATTGAACCATGATAGGAGCATAATTAATCAAAGAATGACAAATAATTAATTAGTTACCCAAACAACTATGTCCATAATGAACCATAAAATCACAGTCTAATGCTTTAGCTGTGAAATCGTCGACACAGCATGCACCGTACGTCACATCTCCCATAACCAATGTTTCAACATTACAGAATCTATAGATATAAATATGGCGGTTATTAGTTCATTATACTGCCAACAATAAATTTGAATAATTTAATTTCTATTACCTTACCTTTCAAGAATATCTGCGATTGTGCACGCAAACATTAATAGCCCTTCTGGGAACTGTAGTGCGACTTTTTTTCGGGTTATTTTATTTGATATTAAATATTAGATTTTTTAACATCTGATCCATTATTATATGTATTTTTAGAAGGCGATAATAAGTAGAAAATATATACTATGAATTAATTTACATTTATTTATATAATATATACCTTTAGTTGCTCCAAATTTTCTGATGTGCCATACAGTTTTATGAATTTCAAAATTATAGTTTGATGGAAGCTTTTTATAGGCGTGTCAAAATAAATCAATGAATTAATTAATTTTTATGCCATATCGATATACTTTTAAATACACTTTATTTTTAGATAAACATCATACATGTTCGATAGCACCATTCAACAATGGATCATCGAGTATTTCTGACGGTATTTGATTGGCAATCCGGCTTTTTTTAGGAGGATCTTTTTATACCATATGTTTATTTATTTAATTAATTGAAGAAAAGCATCCATTTTTATCTTATTTTGATCAATTTTACCATTAAATGTGAAATAAGATACCTATTGTTGTCACAATACTGTCTTCAATGTTCCCAATATTTCTCGTTGACGTCGTTGATATTTGTTGCTTCTTTTTTCCGGCGAATCTTTTGCGTGGTTTGGTTGTCTCTGACATATTGCTATTTTATATTATAAATTTTATTTGGTAAAGGTAAATTTTTTAAAATAAATTTGGCATATGCCACGTGCATTTACGTTCCCACATTATCATAATGAAGAGTCTGATCTCCCGCCTGGCTAAACTATGATTGGAAATTAATCGTCAAACAATTTAAAAAGTACCCGCTCTATTTTCACGTTCATTTTTTATCGTTTGTGTGAAATTCACTTTTTTTAGTTTTTTCTCTTTGTAACTGAGGATTTGTAACAAATGGCCTTCCAAAGCTTGGTGAATGGAGCGGAATGTGCTACTGGGTCAAACCCTTTGGCTCAATTCATGAAAGGTGTAAATGAAGATCCCTCTTTGCGCAAAGTAAGCTTCATTACAGAATTCATTTTTTTTATCCAAACATATCTTAAAAGTCAGGCTTATTCCTCACCTTTAGGAAGCCTTTTTGCCAGGCCCAACACCAGGAGGCTCGAGTGCGGTTAGTTTTATTGCCTAAATGCAAAAATGCGTTTTCCAGAATTATAACTTAAATCAGGTTTTCTCCTAACAGTTCCGTACGCAAAGACCTACCCAAGCAACTTCTGATCAGGTATTAACATATGAACCGATAATAATTGCTAATCTAGCTGGTGATAAAACTTAATAGTTTGATATTCATTCTCAAACATGGTTCATATAAAATGTATAGTTTGCCGAAGAGTTTCTCAATCAACAAGATTTTGGTCCTCAACCTTTAGTTGGGCCAGCTCAACCTGGTCCTTTAATATTGAAAGAACATGGACCAGGGCTTGGCGCAGGAGGTAGTTCTTTATGATATATTGATATGATAGGAAATATGTTTGTTCAAATTTAAGCAATTTTATATTTCGTAAATGAAGGTTGGGCGGCTGAATTCTCGAATCAAACTAATCACGCGCGACAATGGGAACTTGGTAAAGCTGAGGAAGCAGAAATGGAAGAGGCCTTTAAAAGGATGAATATGCAATGTAAGTGGAGAAAAAATCGTCTTTAATTTCCCAATCTGAACTACTTCATACTAAATAATATATCACATACATTCATATTGTATCGAAAATATAGCAACTTGGCAGGCAGAATTTCTCGAAAGACCGCAATTGCCAAACGATCAGATCGCCGAGGTTCCGCCCGAATTCGAAGCAGCATTTCAAAAAAATTTCGACTGGGCTAACGAATTCGCACTAAAACAAGACAAAGGAAAAGCCAAAATAGTCGAATTAGACGATGCATCATGGGAAGCAGAATTCGCAGCAGCCGAAGAAGCACGCCAAAATCAAGAAATTGATGAGGTGCTTTCCACCGAAGAGAACAAGCTATTCGAAAACGTATGGAATAATGTGCGAGAACTCAACGACAGCGGAACTTGGGAAAGAGACTCTACTGTGTATGATGAAAATAACTTTGCAAGTGGTCGACTTGGTGATTATTCGTTTGAGAAGGATAATCCGTATATGAATTCAGATTCTCCTTTAGAACAAGGGATTAAGATCGTGGAAGAAGGTGGATCGCTGTCGGAAGCTGCCTTAGCTTTTGAAGCTGCTGTGCAAAAAGAGCCTGAGAACACAAGAGCATGGACTTTGTTAGGAAACACACAAGCTCAAAATGAAAAAGAGGAACCAGCCATTAGAGCATTGGAAAAGGCTATTGAGCTTGATGGAAAAAATTTGGAAGCTTTGATGGTAAGACAATTTCACTGAATGCGACTTTTGGTTGTTTCCCTTTACTTAATGCCAGAAATGCTATTGAACGATTGTAGAGTCTTGCAGTAAGTTATACGAATGAAAGTTATGATCAACAATCGTACCGTACTCTAGAGCGTTGGATGACGGTCAAATATCCAGAATTAACCTTATCATCGGCTCCTATGGATGCTGTGCGTGACACACATTCGCGTGTCACAGAACTATTCCTTCGAGCTGCACGAAATGCTCCTGGTGGTCAACAAATGGATCCAGACGTGCAAGTTGGCTTGGGAGTTCTCTTTTATGGAAGTGGTGATTATAGCAAGGCCATCGATTGTTTCACAGCGGCTTTGAATAGTCGGCCCAAGGTTGGTTTTACTTATTTCTGTTGTAAGTGGGAATTCATGTGGATATGGAGCCAGTCCAATTGAAGGGGTATGACTAGAATTAGAGCTGCTGAAGATTTAGTGCTACCCAAAAATTCTAAATCTACACCAAATGGATTCCGAATCCACCGATGTTCTATTTCCATTTACAACCTATCTAAAGAATCAATATTATAAAATTGAATTTTTGGTAAATGTTTATTTTTGTATTTTCGATAGGATTATCTTTTATGGAACCGGTTGGGTGCCACTTTGGCAAATTCAGGTAAACCTGAAGAAGCCATCGAAGCGTATCACAAAGCACTGGATATAAAACCTACATTTGTTCGCGCTCGTTACAACCTTGGTGTCAGTTGTATCAACATTGGATGTTATAGCGAGGCAGCTGAACATCTGTTGGGCGCGTTGAGTATGCACCACACCGGACATGATAAGGAGGTTAACGCAAGCAATAGCCTAAGAGACACTTTGAAAAGGACGTTTTTAATGATGGTTAGTTAATTAATGGATTCCCTATTCTTATAATGAATTCATAAATATAAATTTTGGTATCTTTTTTTTTAGGAACGACATGATTTGGCTAATAAAATTCACAAAGACTTTATCGATGTGAACCAATTCCGTGGGGAATTTGATTTCTAATAACATGTATCATATTATGAATGATTATAGAATTAGTGAATTTCATATAGTTTGATGTATGTACACTATTTCGGTGTAATATTTTAAAAAATTATTCCATTTTAATTTTTATTTTTCGCCTTAAAAATTTTGGATTTAAGGCAGACAATAATTTTGGATGTATAATAAATGCTTTAAAAAGAAATTTGTCATTCTGTTTATTACTTTGATATCATGTGCCCTAATGATGTCGGTTTCCAGACGTGATTGTTGGGATCATCCTGCTAACGGACAATCCAATAAAAAGTTCTTTTGAGAAGGCAAGGAAATCCTGTGAATGGTCCACCTTACCTATAATATCAGGAAAACTTGTTTTTAGATAGATGCAAATCCAATATCGGATCAACTATTATATTCAATCAACTCTAGCGAGGTCTTTGATGAATACTCGAATTACTTGATGCCGATCTTTATACATAGAAAACGCTAAAAAAGTTCAAACTTTGTTTTTGAAAACTTTGATCCAGCTGCCACAGAACTTGTAAGTCAATTTGAAGTCAAAAATGGCCGGCAAAACATTGAAGTATTTTAATATCATCAATAATAAATTGTTTCGCAATATCTCTTTTAGGATAATTATTTATAATGGAAAACGGACAAGTTTACTAAATTTTTTCATATTTCGAAATCTAGCATCCCTTCAAGGCGGAAAAAACTTTTATCCATAGCCTAAATTTTTTTTATTTGGATTGTTCGTTCGCATCTTGGATCGAAATGCAAAAAATTTTTCCACGAAAATATGCTTTACAAACACTCTTCATATTCAAGAAATTGCACAATGATATTATAAATGAACACGCACGAATCCTCTAATTGACTTTATTTTCAATTCCGCAGACATGTACACGTGTAAAGAAACGAGAAATTTTTCTCCACTAAATAAACAAGTGCACGCATGGTAAAAATTATTCTTATATTTAGAGACAATCTCATGATCATGTCAAAATCCTATGAAAGAAACACGTATTTTTGTACAGAAAATGAATGTCGACTCTTGGCGCCCTATCGGTTAGAAATGACTTTACACGGACAATGAATGTCGGCTCTTGGCATCTTATTAGCTAGAAATGTCTTTACACAAACTTCTCCGCTTTTTTGAATTTTCCACTTTTGTATGATTTTTTTTATCTTCTATAAATAACATACAAAATTAATCCATATAAAACACGTGAGAAAACTATAAAAGTTTTCACAATTTGAATGGGATTTAGAAAAGGAAATTGTTAATTTATTATTTTGGTGATTCTCCGCGTCAATTAGTGATTTTTCTTTCTTTTCTTGTTGGAAATCACCTGCCATTCGAAAAAATCATCGAAGTTTTGAATGGAGATCACGACATAAATAAAATTCATTCCCGAAAATTTGTATAACTTTATGCAACTACCCCCAGCAGACCCTATCAAAAAGTCCCTAAATGTGGCTAGTGTGATTAACATGGTCGAAATTAACCGATCAAAATTGTAAGATCGAGGATATAGAAATTTTGCCTATGGTATTATTATTCCTGTGTATCGTAAATCAAAGTAAATGATCATAAAATTTTGAAAGCTTCTGATTTGTGCTCTATCCTTGTAGAATTTTGCTCTAGGTACCAATTGACATCCCTCACCGGACGACTAGGAGAAGTAGAATCTTCCGTTGCACTAGACATGGCTATTTTTCGACAAATAAGTAACACAACCCTGTCTTTAAAAATTTGTCGTTGAATAGTTCTATAATGAATTAAATTATTAGATTGAAACTTTTAAATTTTTGTTTATATCGATCTTGCAATTTGATTGGTTAATTTCAACTACACGTTAATCACACGGGACTTTATATGCCTGCGTCAATGACATCATGAAATATGACATATCAGCCACTGCGGCTAATTTTAAATTCATACAATAGCAATAGCATTGTGACTCGCGATCTCATGAACGGAATATCAATAGGGATTTTTCTCACGCTCATTTCTTGTATTGTTTTCTCACACGCCGCATTGCATCGGAGGGCTTTTGATCAGTAATTTCGTGTCAAAAATATTGTGTTTAATATAGTTATAATGATAAGGGAGAATTTTTTAAAATAAGGAGCATTTCCGAATAAGGACACTCACATCAACTACGCATTATTTTTCTTGATTTTTTTTGAAAATAACCACCTAGCGGTTTCCTTAACCGTAGACATTTTCTTCTTAATTAATTAGAATTTAATTAGGCTAGAAACATCTTGCCTCTTTCTCTTCTTTCTTTATTTCATTTTCTTCATATTACCACAGACATCCAACACCTTAACATTAGCACGTAATTGAATTACCACATTTCACAATAAATATATTATTCTTATTTTAAAAGTGGTTAAATATAATACTAATATATATGTGCGGATAATTATTTAATTACCAAAGATTTAAATGGCATATATATATAGATATATATATATATATATATATATATATATCTGTAAAAATTAAATTGTTCTCGGTTTGTTTATTATCTATCTATTGTTTTTTATACAACCATCTTTTTTCTTCTCTATTCTCATCTGTAAATATTTATATCTATATAAATACATGAATAATTGTGGGAGGATATATGCATATGTACATGTATGCAGTCGTTCATACCTAACTTTGTAACCGCTCCCTACTTGTTTTTTTTTATTTTATCGTTATTATAGATCAAATACATTTATTTGATCTTTTTGCATTAACAAACTTTTTTTATATAAAGCTCTTTCTTGTCGTTCTCGTACCAATTGTGCATGAAACGAACCGAAAAACTATTAATCTTATTTCTGTTATAATTAATCAACTTATTAAATTTTTGGGTGTCCTAAATTATTATTATCGTTTCTTTACGCTTTATTATCTCAAAAAGATTCCTGCGCCTCTTCTCTCCTCCACCATCGCACAAAGCAAGAAACAAGATACATTTGTATGTTGGCAGCTCAATCGAACAATCTATTCTATTTCTTAACATAATTAGAACAAGAACCAACCAATTAGTTGATAGAACCACACACACACACACATATATATAACATAAAAAATGAATGAGTCATTTCGCCAAATACCCGGTCTTTTCATGCCGATAAACTCGGTGGTAAAGGACCAAGCTGGATATACGGATTTCGTGTTCAAAGGAAAATCCGAACAGATGCTCAAAGTATGTGAGTACCTGGACGAACGTGGCTTCATACCAAAGGATCTTGTAAACAATGAAGTTTCTTGGTTCTACGGGTAGGTTATTGTTGTTGGAATTAATGTTTTCCTCGGTAGATGGATCGATCCGTCATTTTTTTACCTAACATCTCTCTCAATAAATAAAATATAGAAACCTTGGTATTGATGACATGTACTTTGGCGGTGAAAGTGTTGAAACCATCGCTAATCATATTCTAGCGTTATACGGCGCAAAGATCTTCGCCTATACAAAAAATGAAAACGCGCTTGATATTAACCTTGAACGCGAAACCGATGATGGAGCTGTCTACATTCACACTTCAAGCCCCGGTGTCTCACAATTGCATGGACCTCAACATGAAAGAAGGTAATAGACCATGAAATCGTGTCATTCAGTCACATGCTATTAACTAGAGTCACATGATCGGTTCTCTATTAAACGTCGCTATATTATTACTCTTATTGATATATGTGCCTGTTCCTGATTCTCTTATAGAATTGATGAAAGATATCTTGATGTAAGTACCACCAGTCGAGCCTACCGTCTAGAATCTTATCGTTCGCACGGGAACGTATCCCCATCAGTCAACACGCAGCTTCGTTGTTACTTTGTGGCTAAATGTGATTTCGTGAAACTTGATCCAACTCCCGAGGAAGAAACTGATATTCGTGTTGTAGGCGACAAAACATTTTTGGAAAGAGCCACAGAAAACACTCTGGAAATTTATCAGAATATTATGAAAACAGTGTTGTCCAGGACTGGTCCCGTGATTGAAATGTTTGAAGTGGAAGCCAGTCGTGAACGTCGTCTTGTGATTGGATATCGACAGCATAGTACACAATCATTCTTTTCCGCTATGTCTGATCTTTATCATTTTTATAATTTATACTCTACGCGTAAATATGTTGGTAAGTATTTTTTTACTTCGATTAATTTCCGCCAATTATTTTCACTGTTAAATATAATGTAATATTTAAATTTTTTGATAGAGCAATTCTCTAATGGCGTCACTATAATGAGTTTATATTTGAACCCATTGCCAAACACACAATCCGCACCAATTGAGCACACAATTCATCAAGTAATCAAAGAAGCGTCATTGATCTATTGTCTTCCCACCACGCCATTGCAATCATTCTTCCAAACTGGAACACTTTCCGTGCAAGAAGCAATTTACGGCTACGTAGGTTGGATTTTCTCACAGCATTTTCTCAATCGACTTGGTAATGAATATGTTAGTTTGGCAAATATCATGGATAATAATAATCCTGTCCATGTGGAAGTTCTATCAAAGATCAAAAAGAGATTACGTCAAGACACGTTTACTCGTGAATACGTTTTGGATATTGTTAAACGGTATCCGGAGTTGATTCATTGGTTATATATTAATTTTGCCTTGACGCATTATGTCAATCCGCGAGCTCAACCCCTAGAGTAAGTATTTTTTTTTATCAAGAAAAATTATTGAACATTTTTCCGCTTAATCAAAAAAAGTTAAAAAATATTCTCTCTTGTTCAATAGACCAAGTTTATCATATCAACGGTTGCAAACTGATGTCGTACTTACCGATGATGAACTGCTGGACAAGATTAAAAAAACCACCAGCAACACCCACGAGCTCATGGTTTTTGAATCATTCTTGATATTCAACAAACATTGTCTAAAAACAAACTTTTATCAACCAACAAAAGTGGCATTATCATTTCGCCTTGACCCCTCTTTCCTCCCAGCCATTGAATACCCCACGAAACTATTTGGCATGTTCATCGTCATCGGTTCGGAATTTCGTGGATTTCATTTACGTTTCCGCGATGTAGCACGCGGTGGTATTCGTATAATTCGATCGAGAAACAAGGAAGCCTACAGTATAAATCTTCGATCGTTGTTTGACGAGAATTACGCGTTGGCCGCTACGCAACAACGAAAGAACAAAGATATTCCGGAAGGCGGGTCCAAAGGAACAATCCTTTTAGATATCGGCCAGCAAGATAAGGATAGAGTCGCATTTGAGAAATATGTTGATTGTATACTCGATCTCCTGATTGTCGGAAAGACTCCCGGAATCAAGGAGGTGAGTAATGACCGTCGCCATCGCATTGCAAAAGATTCACCACAATTGTTTGGTCAATATGAGGTAGTTTATTTGGTACTGAAAGAAAGACGCTCAAACTATAAGTGTGTTATGGTGATATTACTGTTACTATTCCTCTAAATGACGGAACATATGTTTGTAGATATCCGCCACCGTTTGAACGGATTTCTTTTCAGAGAACATCAAAAAGATGTTTTATTTTTCATTGTTTACTTTATTATTATTGCCTATTGAAAAAAATTACACTTTTTATTTAGAAAATTGTTGATTTATATGGCAAACCAGAAATCTTATTCTTTGGTCCCGACGAAGGAACAGCAAACTTCGTTGACTGGGCAAGCGCACACGCAAAGAAACGAGGTGCACCCTTCTGGAAAGCCTTCACCACCGGAAAAAGTCAATCGATGGGTGGAATACCGCACGACATGTACGGTATGACCACCCGATCAGTACATCAGTATGTGCTGGGAATCTATCGAAAGTTGGGTCTTAAGGAAGTAAAAATCACCAAATTCCAGACTGGTGGTCCGGATGGCGATCTTGGAAGTAATGAAATAAAGATTTCAAAGGATCGAACTGTTGGTAAGAGTTGTAGAATCAAGTTACCTTTATCGTGTCAAAATTTTTATTAAATTTTATTGATTATATTAGCCATTGTTGATGGAAGTGGTGTCTTGTGTGATCCGGAAGGAATTGACCGTATAGAATTGAAGCGACTTGCAAATGATCGATTAATGATTAATCATTTCGATCTATCGAAATTATCACCTAAAGGATTCCGGGTGCTTGTAGATCAGTCAAATGTCAAATTACCAAGTAAGCGTTTTAAACTAAGTTCAATTCTTCACTCTATCTAATTCATGAATAGAATTTTAATATTTTATATTGTTTACTTAGATGGACAAGTGATAGAAGATGGTCTTGTATTTAGAAATAACTTCCATTTAACAACACTTGTGTCTGCCGACTTGTTTGTACCTTGTGGTGGTCGACCAGAATCAGTAGATCTCAACAATGTAAACCTTTTACTCGATCTTCACGGTAAACCAAGATACAAATATATCGTTGAAGGTGCCAATCTCTTCTTCACCCAAGAAGCCCGTCTTCGTCTCGAACAAGCGGGTGCTATCATCTTTAAAGACGCCTCGGCAAATAAAGGAGGCGTCACGTCATCCTCACTTGAAGTTTTAGCTGCTCTTTCATTAACTGATGAAGAGTTCGCTAAAAACATGCAAGTTAAAGAAGGAATAATCCCACAATTCTATCAAGAATACATCAAAGAAGTGCATCGTATCATTGAGAAAAATGCTGAACTGGAATTCGAGTGTATATGGCGCGAGCACCGAAGAACCAGCAAATCACGATCAATCATCTCGGACGAACTAAGTCTCGCGATTGTGGATCTCAACGAGCAACTTCAACAGTCTATTCTCTGGCAAAATGTCAATCTACGAAAAGCGGTGCTTCGTGACGCGTTCCCACAGTTGTTGCTCGATCGATTGGGATTGGATACTTTGTTGGAGCGAGTGCCTGAAGCGTATGTACGTGCAATCTTTGGATCATACCTTGCGAGCCGCTTCGTCTATAAATATGGAACACACCCGTCGCAGTTTGCTTTCTTTGAGTTTATGAATCCTTTCTTTGCTAAGGTTTCCGAGTTTGGGCAGTTTAGTAACTAACGGGAAGAAATGCTGAAAATAATGATTTTTACTTGTGACTGCGTGGCTTGATTAGGGGGATCAATACTTTTATCTGTAAAAGAAAAAAGTAGAATGCGGAATGTATAAAAATCATCCAAAAACCTTTTTGCTTTTAGATGTGTGTAATATTTCTAACTTTTATTATGACATTAGTTAATATCACATTATTACAATTAACACGCCATAAACATAATTTATTCATCATCTTTATCTTTACTCGTCATTTTCATTTTTATCCTTGTCCTCTAAAACAATAATACATTAGGGGAAAAAAATGGCATGATGTTTATAATTAATTTAATTGTAAAATATAGTTAACTACTAGTAGATTTTTTGTTATTATTTAAAATAATAGTAGAATAAAGTTTTTTCGTCAAATAATCTATTATTTAGGTGCATATCTTTTAATGCTGGTCAATTTTCGTCATTGAAAGTTTTAGCAGTAGATTTCCGACTAACGCAATTATCATAAATCTGGTAAAATCTTCAAATGCTCTATTAAGATCCTCCACGAATTGAACATTTCATTT